TTTTGTTTCAATAAGTATTAAAAATATATATATAAAGATAAATACTATCAACATTTAGGGGAAGGAGATAGTGTGGGGGGGAAGCTTTATGTCAGAGAGCCAGGTTAAAGAGTTTTAACTTTCCTCATTAGAGTCACTAAATATTTTTGAATATTAAAAAAAAAAAAGATAGCACTACAAAGTTTTCAAAGAGTGTGATTAGTGTTAAATAGGAAAGATGTTTCTTATTTTAACTTTTAATTGCTATAAATAGCCTATTATCTAACATCAATTCCATAGTATAAACAGTACTATGCAGCTCTTATGTTTTTGAGCTCCTGCCCTTTTTAGTGAGTTGAACAACAACAACAAAAATCTTCAAGAAAATGAATCTCCTAAGAACTTCTGAGTAATAATGAAACAGCATATTTAATATTAGCCTCAGTATACATACATAATCACGACTGCCAGCTCTAAGAGAAAAGCAAAGTTATATATTTTAAACACTGAAAGAAGTCAAATTTTGAAATCCAAATATTAAACATTTGATGATTTCTTTAGAGATAACAAATGAGTTATCAGTTTTTGATTTGGGTTTTTACATGAGATATCCCTTGCTTTATGAAAGTAAATTATTCCTCATGATCCTTTCCTTGGTAGAAAATTTGCTATTTTAATTTTATATGTTCAAAGTTATAATTAGCATCCCTAAGCAATTATCCAGTTAAAAATAAAATCTTAAAAATCATTATTGCCTCTAATAAAGCAAACACCTCTATAAAACAAGAGTTGAAAGCAGATATAGAAAAGCTTAGGGGAAGAACTATAAAATAACAGGATACAGTAAAACAACAAAAATGAAACAATAGCAAATATAGTTCAAAAAAATATGTAAGAAAAAATAAAACCAAAACAGAAAAATGAAAAAGCCACATTGGATGCAGTACAAAGGAGAATATACATTGCTGAAAATTTATCATTAGTCATGGTGAGCAAAGCAAGCAATTAAAATAAAAATTAACTGAGCATTTTAAAAGATTTCCAACATAAGCATACTCAGCATTCTCAGAGGAACGCAATTCAAAAATACTAACATTCAATCCATGATATACTTTTACTCAAGTACAACGGCCCACATGAACATTTTCGAACAAAAAAGACAACAAAGAATACTGTTCTATAGTACAGCGATAGTGAACATCACCAGAATACTTGAGCTTTATACTAATACTTTAGAAAAGTATTAGTTCTGGTACCATTTAGTTCTGGTAACATTCAGAATGAATGAATGATAAACCAGTATTTCTATCACGTTATAAAGTGAACTGATTCTTTGATGCCTTATGTTCAAGTCTCTTTCTTTAGATTGTTTTTATTGTTTGATTGGTTTTATTGTTAATATTTGATTTGGCTTGTAAAATTACAGTATAGTATGGGCAAATACTTCTGAAACAGACTACTCTTGATCTTTAGAAATTTCTTTGGGAGGAGTCTGGCAGTCTGAATTGAGGATATAAAAACGTCTTCATTCATTTAAAACACAGAAAACACTGGTCTAATTAGAATTCTCCCTCTCTGGTTTCCTTCTTGTAGTAATGCTTTTCAGAGATCAGCTTTCTTCTAGGTTATTGTGGCCCTGAGCAATGAACTCTGCTTGTCAATTAAGTCAAAAGCTACTCAAATCTCTCGGAAAGTAAATGTCTAACTTTAGAAACATTATATAATTTTGCATCCCTAACAGCCTCAGCAGCTGATTTTTATTCTTGAAAGTTGTTTATACCACTGAAAACAGGGATATTTATGTAAGTTAGGTATCTCTGTTTCTTTGGCCTACTTCAATTGATAAGAAAAGGAAATGTTTTTCTCTCTTTGTTGAGTTCACAATTTCCATTATTACCTTTTTTCATCATTAATTCTGGTATAGGGATTAGGTGTTATGAAAATACAGTTGAGAGTTCAAACAGGACATATTCAATCAACTAAGATGTCTTGTTTGGCTGTAGTACAGGCAGTCCCTGAGTTATGAATGAGATAGATTCTGTAGATTTATTCATAAGTTAAATTTGTATATAAGTTGGAACAGGTACATTTACCTATTACCTAAGTAAATTACGTAATAGCCTCCATTCCTAAGTGTGAGTTGTACGTTACTCAGATATTTGTAACTGGGGGATTTACAAATAGCTTCTATTTGTAAGTGCATGCTGTATATAACTCAGATACTTGTAACTCTGGGACTGCCTGTATTGCAGTCGTCTCCAAACTGTTTTGATCACACAACCCTAGTAAGCACGAGATTTGTGGGCATATACTCTACAATATGAATATAATTATTTATAGATTATATTTATATGTGAATGTATCAAGCCCATTACAAAAATAACAGAAATTTCTAGAGAATTCGATAAAGATAAAAATATTTCATTAACGGCAAATAACATTTTGATCTCACTAGAAATTATTAACAATATTTAATGAAAACAATGTGATTTGACATACTTTATTATTTCTGAATATCTTGCCTCAATCCTTTGTGAGCAATTTAAAGTTCAATTTTTTTGATATTTGGTTTTAATACCTATCATAGGTAACTCATGAAAACATGTAGATCTAAATGTGAAAAGGTCATCATAGCACTCATACCCTCAGCTTCTAATTCCATCTAATAATGCAAAAGCTTACAAGTTTTTAAATTTGTTTTTAAAAATTACTTTGTTGTTATCACTAACTGAAATTCAGCAAGCAAATGTCCATCTTTCCTAATATCGATTAGCTGCTCTTGAAAATGTCCTGGGCAGTGGCTGTGGCTCAAGGAGTAGGGCACTGGCCCCATATGCTGGAGGTGGTGGGTTCAAACCCAGCCCTGGCCAAAAACAAAAACAAACAAACAAACAAAATGTCCTAAAACTACTGAAATTTTATATGTTCAAAATTTTGGCTAAAAATGGTGATTTTTAGCCAGGTTAAAGTATTCCATTTTCAACCTACTAATGCAGGTGTGAAGAGTTTCAATAGGCGACATATGTTATCATTTAAAATAAAATCACGTTTCTCAGTATCTGTTTCAAAATGCTCTTCCTGTAGCATTTCTTTCAAGAAACAGTTACTTTCTCGTTCATTGTAAAACACTGCTTTTACCTTGAAGGGCTATTGTTATGTATGTTTTTCAAACAAGGAAGTGTCTACTAAAACAATTTAATCCATAAAGTTCACAAAATCTAGACAACCTGTCTACTTGTAAAAGGAAAATTAGTAATAATGTTTAGTTCCTTTGTTAAAAATACCCTCTGTGGGTAGAAATTTATTGATATTCATACTCAGCTCATCACAAATACAAAGATGCTACTATACCTTAAAGGACTTGCATTTACAAAATACAACTAGGTAATACTGTCCTACAACACTTTGTATGCATCTGGCTTTAACGTCTTTGTTCTTCTTCACTGAATGATGTACCAGATGAATTTCATCTATGTTGCTGTAAATGATAATGAGGACAGAACCTTGGTCAAATAACCTCTTTCATCGTTTCTATTGAGTAGGGCTGGCTTCTGACCACATTTTATTAAATTACTTTTATCCCTAATGGGGATATCTGCCAGATATCCCCCAATATCTATTTTCCCTCTCTATCAGAGGGCTCACTATCAGAACTCTTACCAGTGGACACTTTACTGCCTAGAGCAAAGGCTTCATTTTCTAAAGCCCCTTCCCCTTGCATCTATGCATGGCCTTAGAATTAAGTTTTACTCACTGACATGTACACAGAAATAACATATAGCCTTAAAAGCAGGAGCATACCTTCTGCTTCCTTTCCTCCCAACTAGCTGGAATTCATATTTGACAGCTAAAACTCCAGCAACGATTTTCTTTTTTCTTTTTTTTTAGAGACAGAGTCTTACTTTATCACCCTCAGTAGAGTGCCGTTGCCTCCCAGCTCACAGCAACCTCCAACTCCTGGGCTTAGGTAATTCTCTTGCTTCAGCCTCCCAAGTAGCTATTTTTTGGTTGCAGTTTGGCGGGGCTGGGTTTGAACCTGCCACCCTCAGTGTAGGAGGCCAGCGCCTTACCCACTGAGCCACAGGTGCCGCCCATCCAGCAATGATTTTCAAGCAAAGAGGGAAAAACTAGGTATTGACTAGGTATTGAGGCAAGATATACAGTCAGAGCACTGGAAGAGGGGATGATCTGGATCTTTCCTGAAAGTGTTGTCATCATTCAGCCCTGGGTTGCCTATGTTTATGTGCGAGAGAAACACATTTCTACCTTTTTTGAGCTTCTGCTCTTTTGGGTTCTCTGGCTCTTGGTGGTGTCCTGAATCCTAATTAATACAGCTGGTAACAGGGCTGGTGATAAGCACATACTGGGAGTCAGAGGGGAGACAGCTCTGTCATGTTCTCACGTCAGCATGTAATTGTACTATTAATACTACCTTCAATCTGCAGTTCCCTAACAGAAACTGCTTTGAGACCACTTGTCCATTTTGTCAGAATTAGTTGATAAGAAATATATAATAATAAAATCTTCAAATCCATTTTATAGGTACGTGTAAACTGCAACATATGTCAATAGCTTTGAAAGCCAATGAATGGGGACCACCATTAGGCAGCTCCAACTTGCTCCCCAGACAACTCAAGAACAGCATGTAACCTGTGTTTGTCTGTAATACAGACCCTGCAAAGATACCAGAATCCATGCTAGATATTAATAAAGGCTAATTTTTTCTTGGTTGACACATAAGTATCTGGAGAAGTTCTGCTTTCTTCCTGATCCTCCCCTGCCTCTACTAATAAGTGCTTTCGTGGTCTGCCTGGTGTGAAAACACCCTACCCACTTTAGAGCACCCTGTCAAGATTATGGATGGACCACAGCTAACTCAAGATCATGACACTATGCTACAGGACAAAAATGTTCCTAAGTGAAAAATTGGCATTAATAAGTGCTCTCCATAAAATCAAAAATTTGTGAAAGCAAATGGTAAGTCAAAAGGTGCATGCACATAAAAGATTTCAATGCTTTACCTGAATACTTCAAGAACAGTCCTTTCTGGTAATTTGGGAGCCACCAGCTTGAATGCTTTTTTGAAATCTTCCAAAGTTAAAAATCCACGATCTGTTTGAAAACAAAATATAAAACATTCATTTACTTTTGTAAATCCTAAGAACTGTTAGTTTAGCTGTAATATTTGTGTGAAACCTTATGTTAATACATTGTGAGAAAAGCAGTAATTTATAATTTGTTCTACATATAAGGTAATCTGAGATAGTCTCATTGAAAGAATTTAAAACATTAACTGCCATTTGAGTTGTATTTAACTTATGCTAGTTTTGAGCCCAGGTCCTCACAAAAGATATAGTATAACTCACATGAGTCTTGACCTAATGAAACACTATGGCCCCAAGGAGGGGGAAAACTTGCTCTAGTGTGGTGGTCAATGTGTTAAGCATCTACTGTAATAATACTCTTGTTCAGTATAGTCCTAGTTGATGTTTCTTTTAAAAAAAATTGTTTGTTTGTTTATTTATTTGCGACTGGGTCTCACTCTGTTGCCCAGACTAGAGTACAGCAGTATAATCATAGCTCACCGTACTCTCAAATTCCAGGGCTCAAGCAATCCTCCCTGGCCTCCTAATCCCAGCTGACTTTTTTATTATTATTATTGTTTAGGACTCACTGAGAGTATAAAGAATTAGGTTACACTGATTGTATTTGTTAGGTAAAGTCCCGCTTTTAACTGTGCTCTGCCCCCAAGAGGTGTACCATACACCATGACCCCACCAATTCCCTCCCTCCTTCCCTACCCTCACTCCCTCATTCCACTACCTTCCATCCCAGCTGAGTTTGAAAGTCACTTCCGGCCCTGTCATTTTGTTGATTCTCTAAGTCCCAGGAAAAGGACTATATGGAAACAAGCACTCAATGATCACATTGAGTCTGTGTGAGCTGTCAAAATAATTCAGCTTTCACAATTCTCTTCACCAAACCTAGGGAATAAGCTGAAACCAAAATTCTCTTCCTAGGTTGGTATTAATGATATATTAATATTTCGGGAGAAGTTATATCATCCAAGACACTGAACCTAGACTATACAAGTCTTTTCATCCTGTTTGTGACCTGTGGGGCTTAGAGGGTCTTCAGCCAAACTATGTGTGGGAAAACAGTTCCTGCAATCACATGTGGGCAGAGCAGGAGTTGAAGAAGCCACAGGGTGTCCCTCACTTACACAGGTGGCTTTGGCCTATATTCCCACTTAGCCAGTCCTTTTGTTGTCCTCCTTACAATAAAGGTACAATATACTCCTTACAATATATAAGTACATAGGTATAAGTACATAAGTACAATGTATAAGGAATATACAATACTCCTTACAATATATAAGTACATAGGTACAATATGTAAGTACAATTATATAACTGTAAATGTTATACATATTTCATTTATGGCAAATATCAAGAATGTTAGGGTAGAGAAAAAAATTTCATTGACACCTACAGTAATAGCTAATGAGTACAGAAAAATAATCTTCCCAGTATATTGTATATTTATTTTTTTGACCATGTATCCCCCATTTCCAGTTCCTTAATAGCAACTTTTTATAATACAAACACTTAAACACTTTAAACATGTTAAAGACACTTACAGTGCACGTCAAAGGCGGTGAAGATGTGTCGTATTTCATTTCGATAGACTTGAGCTTCCTTCTTTTTCCTTACAATATTTAAAAAACCCTCAAGCAATATACCTAAAAATCAGGAAGAAACAATTTACTAAACATGGCTGTCTTCCTGTGTGAGAAGAAATAAAGTAGAAATGAACAATGATAAATATTATGAACAATCCAAATTCTATCTTAATTTTCAGTAACAGGGAAAATTTACTAACTCCTGAAGACCTGTAAAATAAAAAGAGGCATTTGCTAAGTGCTAGGTAGACCCAACAGTAGCCGTCAATAGTGAAGACAAAAATACACTTTTAGGGTTCACTGAGCCTTTTCTGGGGATAAAGGAATGGTGACCTTGGAAAAGTTTAATACTCTTCCCTCTAACAGATCGAATAGGCAGGCATGAAACCACTTATTAAACAAGGTCTCATAATTTTCTTTCCTTATGCTTCTTTGATCCCTCTTTTCCCAGCCAGATGTCATTATGGCAGGTTTGCTTTCCAACTGGGAGACAGGGTCAGAGAAGTAGTTTCTCAAAAGTCAATACCAATTGCGCACCACAGATAAAGGTGGAGAGAATATTACATAAACAATAGAGCTGGCACCATCCCCAGCCCTGGATACACCCCACAACGTGTTCAGCAGCCTCAGGCTCAGCTTCCTGTGACTCTCATAATAAAAGAGCCCAGCATGATAATAGGAGATTGGATACTGTGCTTACAATGTCTATTAAAATGAATTCTAATGTGATCTTTGTAGTAGGTTTAAAGAGCAGAGCCAAGAATTTAAACATTCTCGTGAACTGAGCCCTCAATATATAAAAAGAATGGTTCATTTTTATAACTCAAGATTTCCATAAAAAACCATTATCACTCTGTTTTTAAAATAGCTCCCAATCACACAATAACTCATGCACACTTTTCCTTTTGGTGAGGCAGTACTGAGCTGTAGACCCTTTCTAAAATAGTTTCAATAATATAAAAAATGTAGGAATCATATTTTCTTAATTTTCCATATTTTTCTTATTTGTAATTAATGACTTATAGACTTAAAAATCAGTCTATCTTTATGTTTTTAAATTTTTCTTTTACAATTTTTTAGGACCTAATGTGGGTCAGGTATCATATTAAGACAGATGGGGAAACAGAACATACGTGATTCTAGTCCTAACGGAGATACCTGTCTAGTAGGGGAGACCGTCATCGCACAGATTCAACTGCAAACACAGACATAATTGTAAACTATGCGAGCAATGACGGAAAAGATAAGAGATTGTGAAAGAGTCAGTCACAGGAATCCTCTTGCAGAGTAGACTCTGATGAAGGAGAGATCTCTTAGAGGAGGAGGCAATCAAACTAAGACATAAATCCTGAGACAATACCAACTGGCTAATGGAAGGAAAGAGCATGTACCAAGGCCATAGGGGGGGAAAGTGGAAAAATGAAAAGAGGCCATTGTGGCTGGAACGTAACGAGCAAAAGAGAGAAAATGACAGAAAACGGGGCTGAATATAGAGGCAGGGGCCAGAAATCGCAGGCCCTTGTTGGTCACAGTAAATAATTTGGCTTTTATTTAAGTTGCAATAGGAAGTCAACAGAAGGTCTGAATTGGGAAGTGATTTTAAAATCTGATTTAGATTTTTAAAAAAATCTTGCTGGTTATTATCTTGAAAAAAAAAGATGGGGGGAAACAAAAAATGTAAAAAGGGAGACCAATTAGGAACCTACTGGCAAGAGATGTGGTTGCCAGGGGCTGGCAGTGGGAACGAGAGGAGTGGAAGGTTTCCAGATATATTTTAGAATCGAAATGACATAGCTTGATGAAGAATTAGATGTGGTGGGTGAGAAAGGAGGAGATGTCAAGAATAACCCACAGATTCTGGCTTCTAGGTGGAGTCGCTTAAACGAGGAGAAAGTCTGGAGGAAGAACAACAGGACTGGGTGAGATGAAGAGGTGCCATTCAGAAGTGCGAAGTCTTCTGTGCTTGGTAGACAACCAAGAGAAGTTGAGGAGGCAGCTGGCTATACCGTAGGTGACAGGGCATTCCTCCAACACCTAGCAGAGGGCCTGGCAGATACTCAATAAATGCGCAAACCCAACCCTAGCAATCAATAGCGAAAATGAAAGACACTTTTAGGGTTCACTTAGGGTTTAATCGTATTAAATTAGCATATGCAGCATTTCCCCAGTAGTTATTAAAGACAGGCATGGATGCAGCTCCATTCCCATCTCATCACATCACAGCCAGGGAACTGCTAGCTGAGGTTAAAATTAAGTCTTAGCCATGCCCTGTTCTCCTAAGATTATATCTATAATTTCAGTAGGTTTTTTTTTTTTTTTTTTTTTTTTTTTGAAACACAGTCTCAAGCTGTTACCC